GCTAATTTTTTGATTTATTGTAGAGATGAGGTCTCACCTGCCCAGGTGGGTCTTGAACCTGCGGGCTCAGGCAATCCACTCACCTCAGCCTCCCAAAGCGCGGGATTACAGGCTGAGCCACCAAGCCTGGCTATAAACTATATTTTCAATCTAAAGAAAAAATCTGTTGGATCTGATGAGACAGCTTTGACTTTTGAGAAAGATTCAGTAAAATTAAGGGAATAGGTGGTAAGAGAGATTTAGGAGGGAATAGAAAATGTGGAAATGTGCCATTGATTTTAAACTTGTTTTGGGAAGCTAGACCCTGAATGAAAGACACAAAACTATGGAGACAGTGTAGAGACATATATAATTATCTTGGTTGGAGATATAAAGGAGACGGTGAGAGAATACTGTAGGGCATAGGCTTAAAAAGGTTGAATCATACTGATTAGATAATTATTAGTTTTGATCTTCGTAAACTGTTTTACTCCCCTAAACATTCTCTTTTAGTTCTTTGATAATTTATCATATCCTTAGAATCTGGGTAAATAGTGCATGGCAGTTCTAGGATTAGGCCACAGTTGGCTAAGGTTTAGACTTCACCAAAGGTTAAGAATTGGCATAAATAGTTCAAAGAGCTGGATAAGGTATTAAAATGAAACAAAAGAGTATGACTGTCTTGTGTAGATTAAATGGACAGACACATATCTGCATTTAATTCAGAAGAATTGGTAGAACTTCTCTGTTGTCTGCTTTTCTCAATAAAGAGGGAGCACATAATAAAAAAAATGACAGGCCGAGTTTGGTGGCTCAGCCTGTTATCCCAGCACTTTGGGAGGCCGAGGAGAGTGGATTACCTGAGCCCGTGGGTTCGAGACCCGTCTGGGCAACTTGGTGAGGCCTTGTCTCTACAATAAATAAAAAATTAGCCAGGCACGATAGTGTGCGCCTGTTATTCCAGCTATTTGGAAGGCTGAGGTGGAAGGATTGCTGGAGCCCAGCAGGTTGATGCTGTGGTGGCCATGAGCATACCATTGTACTGCAGCCTGGGCGACAGAGTGAGACTCCAACTCAAAAAAAAAAAAATTTAAAAGCCTGTCTTGGTGGCTCAGCCTGTAATCCCGTGCTTTGGGAGGCTGAGGTGAGTGGATTGCCTGAGCCCACAGGTTGGAGACCCACCTGGGCAACTTGGCAAGACCTCATCGCTACAATAAATAAAAAACTTAGCCGGGCGTGGTAGTGCGTGCCTGTAGTTCCAGCTATTTGGAAGGCTGAGGTGGAAGGATTGCTGGAGCCCAGCCAGCAGGTCGAGGCTGTGGTGGCTGGGAGTGTGCCACTGCACTCCAGTCTGGGCAACAGAGTGAGACTCCAACTCAAAAAAAATAAAAAATGATGGAAGTTGACCGAGCATCTGCCAGCTTTAGAATCCCTCCAGTGGTTAAGTTTCACCTTACACTGCTTCTGAAGATCAGCTTTTAATCTCTGCCCAGTACTCTGAATATTCCTAGCAAACTGATTTTCTTTCTTTCCCTCCCTCCCTCCTTCTCTCCCTTTCTTCCTTCGTAGGATTTATTGAGAGGACAGAAAAGCTCCCAGAGTGGGAGAGGACCCGAGGGGATTGCCCTGACTTTTCTGTTATTTGTGGCAAGAACCAGGATTTGGGTGGCCATAAACTATGATGATTATGACTAGGAAGACTCATAGAGCTCAGTACCTTTCTGGAAAATAGTTCAGTGCTTAAGAATATCAACTGACTGCTGAGATGTGGAAATTTCAACTGCTAAAATTGTGGTTGATTAATATATTTGATGTATTTTCAGTTATCAAAGATCAATTCCGTAATCAAATGTTAAATAAGTCCTTTCTGGCTACTGATCTATCAGGAATTACTGGTGTTCCAGCAGGCAGCCAGGGATAACCCTAAGCAAAATTGTGAAGGTATGGCATCCCTATAAGTACATTGTAGGTTTCCTTTCCTGTGACCTCAGAAAAGAATCTAATCAATTTATTCACATTATGGACTATAATGAGGACTGTATTTCTATGGGACTTAATGTGTTTAAACTGAGGGTGTTTGCGTTTATCCAAGAGGCAGCACCTTTCATTAAAATTTGTTGACCACCTACAATCTTTCCATTCAACGGTTATATTTTATTTTATTTTATTTTATTTTTGAGTTGGAGTCTCACTCTCTGTCGCCCAGACTGGAGTGCAGTGGCCGCTCCCGGTCACCGCAGCCTCGACTTGCTGGGCTTCGGTAATCCTTCTGCCTCAGCCTTCCAAGTAGCTGGAACTACAGGCACGTGCTACCATGCCCAGCTCATTTTTGATTTATTGTAGAGATGAGGTCTC